AGTAGAGACGGGGTTTCACCGTGTTGACCAGGATGGTCCAGATCTCTTGACCTCGTGATCCACCCGCCTCGGCCTCCCAAAGTGCTGGGATTACAGGCTTGAGCCACCGCGCCCGGCACTTACTTATTTTTTAATAGAAGAATATTTATTTATTTTGTTTTGTTTTGTTTTGTTTTTTTTGAGGCAGAGTTTCGCTCTTGTTGCCCAGGCTGGAGTGTAGTGGCATGATCTCAGCTCACTGCAACCTCTGCCTCCCAGGTTCAAGTGATTCTCCTCCCTCAGAATCCTCAGTAGCTGGGATTACAGACACCCACCACTATGCCCAGGTAATTTTCTGTATTTTTTAGTAGAGACGGGGTTTCACTATGTTGGCCAGGCTAGTCTTGAACTCCTGACCTCAGGTGATCCATCTGCCTCAGCCTCCCAAAGTGCTGGGATGACAGGTGTGAGCCACCGCCCTCAACTTTTTTTTTTTTTTAAGATGGAGTATCACTCTATTGCTGAGGCTGGAGTGCAGTGGCACGATCTGGGCTCACTGCAACCTCCACATTCTGGGTTCAAGCAATTGACCTGAGTAGCTGGAATTACAGGCATGTACCACTACACTGGCTAATTTTTATTTTTAGTAGAGATGGGATTTCACCTTGTTGGCCAGGCTGGTCTAGAACTCCCAACCTCAAATGATACACCTGCCTCGGCTTCCCAAAATCCTGGGATTATAGGCATGAGCCACTGTGCCAGGCCTATTTATTTATTTTTTTGAGACAGAATCCCATTCTGTTGCCCAGGCTGCAGTGCAGTGGTACCATCTCAGCTCACTGCAACCTCCACCTCCCAGGTCAAATTATCCTCCTGCCTCAGCCTTCCGAGTAGCTGGGATTAGAGGCACACACCACCATACCCAGCTAATTTTTGTACTTTTAGTAGAGACAGTGTTTCACCATATTAGCCAGGCTGGTCTCGAACTCCTGGCCTCAAGTGATTTACCTGCCTCGGCCTCCCAAAGTGCTAGGATTACAGGTATGAGCCACTGCACCCAGCCCCACTTAGTTTTATTGGATACACTTTTGCAGAGTGTCAACTCTATGCTAGGTGCCATGCGAGCTAAAACTGGGAAGGCTGATCACCAAGAAACAGAGACACGGACACATCTCAAGGAAGCAGAGGATCATGAAGTCAGTGTGAGACAGCATGGCCCAGCAGTCCACTGCGGGAACAAACCCCAGCCCACGTCATGGGACGCAAATCTTGGGGCTGACACATGCCCACATCTGGCAGGTCACAGTCTCCAGATTCGTTTTCTTGACTCACTTACCTGATGACTGTGAATTTGATAAACTCAGCTGCATCCAAGATCCGCCTCATGGAACTGATTTCCAGGTAACCAGGGGCCTTGAACACCACCCCTGGGGGCATGCCGTCAATAACCACACAGCCAGGGTTGAATGTGATCTTCCTGTAGGGAACTTTCACAGGGAAATCCACGCCAATTGCTTCACCTGTGATGGGATGAGCAGCATAAAACTAGCTGAGTTTGGCCAGGTGAGGTGGCTCTCGCCTGTAATCCCAGCCCTTTGGGAGGCCGAGGCGGGTGAATCACTTGAGGCCAGGAGCTCGAGAACAGCCTAATACGGGGAAACCCTGTCTCTACTAAAAATACAAAAATTATCTGGACATGGTGGTTCATGCCTGCAATCCCAGCTACACAGGAAGGACCCAGGAGGCAGAATTTGCAGTGATTCCCCCCACTGCACTCCAGCCTCGGAAACAGAGCGAGACCATCTCAAAACGAGACAACACAACAAATAAAAAAACACACACACCAATAAAACTAGCTGAGTTTGTTCCTTACATTTCCTAAGCCAGGATTTATCTTTAGTGTCAGAATTTAGGACAATCAAATGACAATACTTATGATCATCCATTATTACTTTATTTTCCAGTGGTACTATGATATGTGAATACAGTTTTAAAATTGGCGTGGGTAGTAGGCAGACTCAGCTTCTCCATCCGTTACATGGGGTTATCCTAGTGCCTGCCTGAAAGGTTTTATGTGAGGATTAAATGATCAAACACAAGTTGAGCATAAAAAGTAATAGCCAAGGTAAGCACTCAGTAAAACAAAGATAGCTATTGTTATTATTGTAATCAGTCAGTGCCACTACACAAAAGCTCTTCTGTAAAAAGATACATTGGCTAATTTTTATCATAGCTCTTTCACAAAAAGATCAATTTCTTTTTTTTTTTTTTGAGACATGAGGCAGTCTCGTCTGTCACCCAGGTTGGAGTACAATGGCGCAATCTCGGCTCACTGCAATCTCCCGCCTCCCAGTTTCAAGTGATTCTCGTGCCTCAACCTCCTGAGTAGCTGGGATTACAGGTGTGCACCACCACGCCTGGCTAATGTTTTATATTTTTAGTAGAGATGGGGTTTTGCCATGTTGGCCAAGCTGGTCTTGAACTACTGGCCTCAAGTGCTCTGCCCACCTTGGCCTTCCAAAGTGCTGGGATTACAAGTGCAAGCCACCGCACCCAGACAAGATCCACTTCTTATAAAGTGTTATTTTTTTTTCTTTTGTAGAGCTGGGGTGCCGTTTTGTTCCCCAGGCTGGTCTTGAACTCCTGGGCTCAAGTGATTCTTTATCCTTGGCCTCCTCAAGTGCTGTGATTACAGATGTGAGCCACTGCACCCGGCCAAGTATTCTTTTATATGAATTCTGGATATAAAAAGATATAAAAACTTACCAAACTTTCGGCTAAAGAGGTTATTAACTTGTTCTCTTAGCTGTTTAATCTTTTCAATGCTTGATAATCTTTCTTTCTCATTATCTAAAAATAATAAACAAGCCAGGGTTATTCATGTATTTTCTCCTAAGAAAGCGGCCGGAGCAAACGCCTGTTCGCACCCGAGAAAGTGTTTTACATGGATTGTTATTCAGTTTACTTTTAGCAATAATTGAGCATTTTGGAGATTTGAAAATGGAAGGCATTATAGACAGTAGAGAATTTTCTCCAAATTATAAACCTAAAGAAACATACTATGTACTACTTTTAGGGAATATTTTCAATATCATACAAGATAAAGGTGTTTACTTTCACCACCACTTTTCAACCTTAAAATAGAAATCTTAGCCAACGAAATATGACAAGTAAAAGGAATAGAGGTACTAGGATTAGAAGGTAAGGTATAGTTTTCTGTTATTTCTTCTTTTTTTTGAGACTGAGTTTTGCTCTTGTTGCACAGGCTGGAGTGCGACAGCACAGTCTCGGCTCACTGCACGCTCTGACTCCTGGTTCAAGCGATTCTCCTTCCTCAGACTCCCAAGTAGCTGGGATTACAGGTACCTGCTACCACGCCTGGCTAATTTTTGTATTTTTAGTAGAGACAGGGTTTCACCATGTTGGCCAGGCTGGTCTTGAACTCCTCACCTCAGGTGATCCATCCACCTCAGCCTCCCAAAGTGCTGGGATTACAGGCGTGAGCTACCACACCTGGCCTATTTTTCTTTTCTTTTTCTTTTTTAGAGACAGGGTCTCACTGCGTTGTGCAGGCTGGTCTCAAACTCCTGGGCTCAAGTGATCCTCCTGCCTCAGCCTCCTAAAGTGCTGAGATTACACCCATGTACCACCATGCCTGGCCCTTTTTGTGTTTTTATTTTTTAGATGTTTTTCAACACTTTAAAACTTTATTTACTTTTGAATAACTAAAGCAATCATATAGCTCAACATTCAAGAGGGGTAATATACAGAAACATCTAGAAAGTCTCTCTCCCATCCCTATCTCAGCTGTCAGTTTCCTTCCCTGCAGGAATGACGTTATTAGATTCTCTTGTATCCTTCGAGATATATTTTACATACACATATAGAAGAAGATTACTTAATGACGGGCAACAAAAACATTTCAGCTCTGTGGCCAATTCCAATTCAGCCATAGCTGGTGCTCTGAGCTGCCTGCTCTGAGATGCGTTTTCCAGGTAATGCCGGGGCTTGGCCGGGAGAAGCTGAATATCTGATTAACAATGTCTGATACAGCCAGATGCTTGGTGTATAGCATATTTTATATTCCTGAACTGTCATTTCTTAGCTGTCAGGGTGAACTAAGTAAAAATGACAGGTCTAAGAGACCGCCCTTTGTCAAAAAATAATTAAGACAAAAGAGAAAACATAGCATTAGTTCATACCTGGAACAGTCACCTGAACGATGTTAAGATCTTCAACACCTGCTGCAGAATTTCTAACACTGGATGAATTTGTGTTTCCTTAAAAAAGAAGTTGAAGTTTAGAATTTACAAAGATTAAGGCCAATTCCCCTTTAAATCTGTCTAAGTGCTGCTTTGATCAGAAACCCAGACTGAATCTTTTTTATTTTTATTATTTTTTTTTGAGACAGGGTCTTACTCTGTAGTCCAGGCTGGAGTGCAGTGGTGTGGTTCTAGCTCACTGCAGCCTCAACCTCCCACGGTCAAGTGATTCTCCCACCTCAGCCTCCTGAGTAGCTGGGTCCACAGGCATGCATCACCTGGCTAATTTTTTTTTTTTTTTTCAGACTGAGTCTCATTCTATTGCCCAGGCTGGAGTGCAGTGATGTGATCTCAGCTCACTGCAACCTCCACTTCCCAGGTTCAAGCGATTCTTATGCCTCAGCCTCCTCAGTAGCTGGGATTACAGGTGCCCACCACCACACCCAGCTAATATTTGTATTTTTTTAGTAGAGACAGGGTTTCACCATGTTGGTCATGCTGGTCTCAAACTCCTGTTCTCAAGTGATTCACCTGCCTCAGCCTCCCAAATTGCTGGGATTATAGGTATGAGCCACTGTGGCCAGCCCTAATTTTTGTATTTTTAGTAGAGACCAGTTTTTGCCATGTTGGCCAGGCTGGTCTCGAACTCATGGTCTCAAGGGATCCACCCACCTGGGCCTCCCAAAGTGCTGGGATTACAGGTGTGAGCCATGGTGCCAGCCTCAAACCACACTTTCAACTTCACTTCTTTGAGATGCTTGCACTTAAACTCCAGCTGCCGGCCTGAGCAATTACTTTTGACATCTGTCTGTCCGCTCCAGCAGGAAAGGGGCTATGTCTGCGTGAATCACCCTTTCCTTTCCATTCTCCTCCTTTACGTACCCTTGACACATTCTTTCCTCACTTGAACACAGCACAGATGAGGCCCAGTTGCGGGTCAGTGCTGATATGCAAGACTTAAAAAAATTTTTCTTTTAATTTTTATTTTTAGAGGTGGGGGTCTTGCTCTGTTGCCCAGGCTGGAGTGCAGGGCATAATCACAGCTCATTGCAGCCTTGAAATCCTGGGCTCAAGCCATCCTCCTGCCTCAGCCTCCCAAGTAGCTGGGACTAAAGGTGCGTGCCATCATGCCTGGCTAATATTTTTGTTAGTTTGTTTTCAGACAGGATCTCACTGCCATCACCCAGGCTGGAGTATCGCGGCACAACCATGGCTCACTGCAGCCTCGCCTTCCCTGGGCTCAGGTGGTTGTCTCACCTCAGCCTCCCAAAAGCTGGGACTACAGGTGTGTCTCACTATGCCCTGCTAATTTTCCGTATTCTTAGTAGAGATAGGGTTTCACCATGCCCAGGCTGGTCTCGAACTCCTGGGTTCAACTGATCTACCCACCTCAGCCTCCCAAAGTGCTGGGATTACAGGTGTAGCCACTGTGCCTTGCCTATTTTTTTAAAATGCTTATTTTTTGCAGAGATAGAGTCTCACTATGTTGCCCAAGCTGATCTAGAACCTCTGGGTTCAAATGATCCTCCTGCCTTGGCCTCACCAAGTGCTGGGCTTACAGGCATGCACCATCATGTATGCCTTTTCTAATCTTTTTGCACAGCTTAATTAAGTTCTACAACACCCCAAAGCACTGGGCCCTGTTGGGAATATGGGCTGCTCTAGCCATATAGACACACGTTAGAGATGTCAAGCTCTTCCCCACAATCTTTTTTTTTTTTTTTTTTTTTTTGAGACGGCGTTTCGCTCTTGTTGCCCAGGCTGGAGTGCAATGGCGCAAACTCAGCTCACTGTAACATCCGCCTCCTGAGTTCAAGTGATTCTCCTGCCTCAGCCTCCTGAGTAGCTGGGATTATAGGCATCTGCTACCACGCCTGGCTGATTTTTTGTATTTTTAGTAGAGACAGGGTTTCACCATGTTGGCCAGGCTAGTCTTGAACTCCTGACGTTAGGTGATACACCTACCTCAGCCTCCCAAAGTGCTGGATTACAGGCATGAGCCACCATGCCTGGCTATTTTCTTTTTTTTTTTTTTTTTGAGATGGAGTCTCACTCTGTCGCCCAGCCTGAAGTGCAGTGAGGTGGAGGCTCACTGCCACCTCCACCTCCCGGGTTCAAGTGATTCTTCTGCCTCAGCCTCCTCAGTAGCTGAAACTACAGGCCTGCACCACTATGCCTGGCTAATTTTTGCATTTTTAGTTAAGACAGGGTTTCACCATGTTGGCCAGGCTAGTCTTGAACTCCTGACCTTGTGATCCACCCCCCTCAGCCTCCCACAGTGCCGGGATTACCAGGTGTGAGCCGCCGTGCCTGGCTTTTTTTTTTTTTTTTTTTTTTTTGAGATGGAGTCTCACTCTCTCGCTCAGGCTGGAGTGCAGTGGTGAGATCTTGGCTCACTACAACTTCTGCCTCCCAGGTTCAAGTGATCCTCCTGCCTCAGCCTCCCAAGTAGCTGGCACTACAGACATGTGCCACCATGCCCAGCTAATTTTTGTGTTTTTAGTACAGACAGGATTTCACTATATTGCCCAGGCTGGTCTTGAACTCCTGGGCTCAAGCCATACACCTGCCTTGGCCTCCCAAAGTGCTGGGATTATAGGCGTGACCCACCGCACTCAGCCATCCTCCCCATAATTCATCCCGTTAGGAAGAATGAAAACCATACTTGGCAACGGGGCTTTTAGCAACTAACCTTCAATTTTTACCTCGGCTTCAGGGTCCTCATTTGGCTCTTCTGAAGGAACCAGCGGAGTGGAATCTTGAAAAAAAAATTTCTAAAATGACATTCGTTATTAAGTATTCTCCTTATTCCAACAAATTACTGATCCTATACCAAAAAAAAGTAGCTTATCCTGGCATTTTAAATACATTTCATATATAATAAACATAGTATTAATTTTATAAGCAATAATAATAGGATAATAAACAGTCATTGGGATGGGCACGGTGGCTCAGGCCTGTAATCCCAGCACTTTGGGAGGCAGAAGTGGATGATCATGTGAGGTCAGGAGTTCAAGACCAGCCTGGCCAACACGGTAAAACCCCGTCTCTTCTAAAACTATGAAAATTAGCTGGGCGTGGTGGCACAACCCTGTAGTCCCAGCTATTCGGAAGGCTGAGGTACGAGAATCACGTGAACCTGGGAGACGGAGGTTGTAGAGAGCTGAGATTGTGCCACTGTACTCCAGCCTGGGCGACAGAGCAAGACTCCGTCTCAAAAAAAAAAGAGTATGTTCTTTGTAAAATACTATAAACTTTTTTAAAAGAGAGAGAAAATGCTGCATTTTTCTAACCTTCCATTGGTAATTCCATTTCTATTACTTCATTGCTTGTGGAAGAAGGGTGGCCTCCTGAAAGGAAAATAAATAATACATAACAAAAGGAGAAATACGGAAATGAAAAAAGAAATCATTGAATACAATGCAAGCAATTCAAGACCTACACAGGAGTACACATGAAATAAGTCTACCCCCTGAAATAAAACTGGCCGGGTGCGGTGGCTCACGCCTGTAATTCTAGCACTTTGGGAGGCAGAGGCAGGCAGATCACCTGAAGTCAGCAGTTCGAGACCAGCCTGGCCAACATGGTAAAACCCTGTCTCTACTAAAAATGCAAAAAATAGCTGGGCATGGTGGCAGGCGCCTGTAATCCCAGCTACTCAGGAGACTGAGGCAGGAGAATCACTTGAACCTGGGAGGCAGAGGTTGCAGTGAGCTGAGATCCTGCCACTGTACTCCAGACTGGGCGACAGAGTGAGACTCTGTCTCAAAAAGATATAAATAAATAAACCTCAAACAAATGATCCTTTTACTTTTTTATTATTTTATTTTGGAAAATTTGAAACATACCAAAGCACAAAGGTCATACAGTCAAACCCCCCCATGACTACCAACTCATGTAACCTTTTTTTTTTTTTTTTTTTGCTCTCATTGTCTACAACCAATAGTTAGATAACCCTAGCCACCTCTCACATACATCTTTTTTGGGGTTTTTTTTTTTTTTTTTTGAGACAGAGTCTAGCTCTCTGTCATCTAGGCTGGAGTGCAGTGGTGCCATCTTGGTTCACTGCAACCTTCGCCTCCTAGGCTCAAGCCATTCCTCTGCCTCAGCCTCCCCAGTAGCAGGGACTACAGGTGCGCACCACCACGACTGGCTAATTTTTGTATTTTTAGTAGAGACAGGGTTTCACCATGTTGGCCAGGCTGGTCTCAAACTTCTGACCTTGTGATCCGCCCGCCTTGGCTTCCCAAAATGCTAGGATTACAGGTATGAGCCACGGTGCCCAGCCATAACCCTGTTTTATCTGTACCCACCCCACCCCCATGCCTACTGGTTATGTAAAAGGTTCAAGTGACTCTCCTGCCTCAGCCTCCTGAGTAGCTGGGGCTACAGGTGCCCACCACCATGCCCGGCTAATTTTTGTATTTTTGGTAGAGACGGGGTTTCACCATGTTGGCCAGGCTGGCCTTGAACTCCTGATCTCGTGATCTGCCCGCCTCAGCCTCCCAAAGTGCTGAGATTATAGGTGTGAACCACCGAGCCTGGCCACAATGTTATTAACATTTGACCCCATTCCCTCGACCCTTGGCATTTCTCTTCCTCCCTCCCTCTCCTCTCCCCTCCCCTCCTCTGGACATCTATACGGGTGTATATATACATACTTTTTCATATATACTTTAGTGACTATTTCTTAAGAATAGGGACAGTTCTTTACACCATCACAACAAAGCTTTAAAAACCACGACATGTTGCCGTGAGACAACACGTTGATGCATTTTCTCATGGGTATGCCGGTTTTCTCAGCTGACCCAAATGTCCTTTAGAGCTTTACTCTTTTCACCACAGGATCTGGTTTAGGGCCAGGTAGTTTTTCTAATTGTTGTGTCTTTTAAATCTCCTTTAATCAGGAACAGTTCCATTGTCTGTTTTTGTGTTTTATAACATTGCCTTTTTTTTTTTTTTTTTGAGATGGAGTCTCACTCTGTAGCCCAGGCCGGAATGCAGTGGTGCGATCTTGCCTCACTGCAACCTCCGCCTCCTGGGTTCAAGCGATTCTCCTGCCTCAGACTGTTGAGTAGCTGGGACTACAGGTGAGTGCACCACCACGCCCAGCTAATTTTTGTATTTTTAGTAGAGTCTGGGTTTCACCATATTGGTCAGGCTGGTCTTGAACTCCTGACCTCGGGATCTGCCCACCTTGGCCTCCCAAAGTGCTGAGATTACAGGCATGAGCCACTGTGCTCAGCCAACGTTGATATTTTTATGAATAGAAATCCCCTCCTCGGCCGGGCATGGTGGCTCATGCCTGTAATCCCAGCACTTTGGGAGGCCAAGGCAGGCAGGTCACCATCACCTGAGGTCAGGAGTTTGAGACCAGCCTAGGCAACATGGTGAGACCCCTTCTCTATAAAAAATACAAAAATTATCCTGGCGTGGTGGCACATGCCTATACTCTCAGCTACTCTTGAGGCTGAGGCAGGAGAATCACTCGAACCTGGGAGGTGGAGGTTGCAGTGAGCCGAGATCGCATCACTGCACTCCAGCCTGGGCAACAGTGCAAGACTCTGTCTCAAAACAAACAAACAAACAAAAAGCCACCAAAACCAATTCATTTCTCTGAGCTTCTTGCCTTCTGGATTTTATCGACTGCATCCTTGTGATGGTGTTTTCATATGTGTCTGTATTCCCTGTACCTCCTAGAAATTGCTGGTTAGATCTAAAGGCTGGATCAGACTTAGGTCTGAATTTTTTTTTTTTTTTTGAGACAGTCTCACTCCAGCACCCAGGCTGGAGTGCAGTGGTGCGATCACAGCTCACTGCAGCCTTGACCTCCCAAGCTCAAGCGATCTTCCCTCCTTAGCCTCCCAAGTAGCTGGGGCTACAGGCACGTGCCACCACGCCTGGCTAGTTTTTGTATTTTTTGTAAAGATGGGGTCTCACCATGTTTACCAGGCTGGTTTTGGGCTCAAGTGATCCTGCTGCGTTGGCCTCCCAAAGTGCTGGGATTACAGGTATGAGACATTACACTTGGCTGGGTTTGATTTTATTTTTATTTTTTAGAAGAATCCTTGACAAAGTTGGTGTAGTGTACTTCCTGCTGGATCCCATCAGGAAACCCATATGTCTGGTTACCTCTCTTTGTGATGGTAACCAGTGACCAGTGAGTTCAGGAACTGTCAGTCAGGTCTGTACATGATAAAGTCCCCATCAGACTTCTATAAAACGGTTTTAATGGCCACTGACAACTATTGCCAAGATGCGTTGTTTCATTAGGTGGTGCAAAGTCATGACAGTTGTGACAATTTACGACTTCTTTTTAAGTCTTATGGGTCAAGTGTGGTGGCTCATGCCTGTAATTCTAGCACTTTGGGAGGCTGAGGTAGGTGGATCACCTGAGATCAGGAGTTCAAGACTAGCTTGGCCAACATGGAGAAACCCCGTCTTTACTAATAATACAAAAATTAGCCAGGCATGGGGTGCATGCCTGTAAGCCCAGCTACTCAGAAGGCTGAGGCAGGAGAATCACTTGAACCTGGAAGGCAGAGGTTGCAGTGATCTGAGATTGCACCACTGTACTCCAGCCTGGGCGACAAGAGCAATGCTCTGTCTTAAAAATAAATAAATAAAATAAAAGGCTTATGTTTTATTTTCCCCAGTTTTTTTTTTTTCTTGGAGACGGAGTCTTGCTCTGTCACCCAAACTGGAGTTCAGTGGTGCAATCTCAGCTCACTGCAACCTCTGCCTCTCCGGTTCAAGCAATTCTCCTGCCTCAGCCTCCCGAGTAGCCGGGATTAGAGGTGCCCGCCACCACTCCTGGCTAATTTTTGTATTTTTAGTAGAGATGGGGTTTCACCATGTTGGCCAGGCTGGTCTTGAACTCCTAACCTCGTAATTCGCCTGCCTTGGCCTCCCAAAGTGCTGGGATTACAGGTGTGAGCCACCGTGCCTGGACTGTTTGTTTTTCTTCTGAGACAGGGTCTCCCTCTGTCACCCAAGCTGAAGTGCAGTGGTGTGATCATGGCTCACTACAGCTTCATACTCCTAGGCTCAAGTGATCCTCCCACCCCAGCCTCCACATTATCTGGAACTACAGCTACATGCCACCACACTCAGATAATTTTAACATTTTTGTAGAGACAGGGTCTAGCTATGTTGTCCAAGCTGGTCTTGAACTCCTGGCCTCAAGCCATCCTCCTGCCTTGGCCTCCCAAAGTGTTACAATTTCAGGCTGAAGCCACTGCCTCCAGGCCCAAGATTCTTTAAGTGAAAACAAAGAGTGGGGGTGTGGGAATCTAGCATATATTTTATTTGCTAAGTAAAAGACTAAATCCAAATAAATTTGGGGTTTTATTATCCGCGACTCTAACTGTACTATAAAATTATTAATCAACGTTTGTCAGCAACAGAAAAAAATCACGCACACATTTCATTTCTGCTTTTCTTGTATTTTACCCCTCATGGTGATGTGCAGACATGCACATTCAGGTTCCGCTATGAACTGGTTTTTGTTTGTTTGTTTTTGAGACAGAGGCTCACTCTGTTGCCCAGGCTGGAGTGCAGTGGTGTGATCTGGGCTCACTGCAACCTCCACCTCCCAGGTTCAAGTAATCCTCCTGCCTCAGCCTCCCGAGTAGTTGGGACTACAGGTGCCCACCACCATGCCCAGGTAATTTTTGTATTTTTAGTAGAGAAGGGGTTTTGCCATCTTTCCTAGGATGGTCTTGAACTTCCCACCTTGGCCTCCCAAAGTGGTGGGATTTACAGACATGAGCCACCTCACTCAGCAGGAATTGAGACTCTGTGCCCAAATAGAGGGGTGGAATCTCATCAGAAGTCTGCAGAGGCCGGGTGCAGGAGCTCATACCTTAGCACTTTGGGAGGCTGAGGCAGGTGGATCGTTTGAGCTCACGAGTTTGAAACCAGCCTGGGCAACATGGTGAAACCCTGTCTCTGAAAAAAAAAAAAAAAAAAAAAAAAAAAAAAAAAAAAAAAAAAAAAAAAAAAAAAATTAGCCAAGCATAGTGGTGTGCTCCTCTGGTCTCAGCTACTCAGGAGGCTGAGGTGGGAAGATGGCTTGAGCCCGGGAGGCAGAGGTTGCAGTGAGCTGAGATCGTGCCACTGCACTCCAGTCTAGGTAACAGAGCCAGACCTTATCTAAAAAAAACAAAAACAAAAACCAAGAACTTGCTGGGGTCAGGCAGGATTCTGGGCCTTTGGGTGGAGGACCCAGCCATGTTTGAAGTGTGCACATATGGCAGGAATCATCTGCTGCTGCTCACCGAGCTTCTCTGATGTCAACGAAGCCACTATGATTAGTACAAGGATTTGAATTTCTTGACTCTAAGCTCCACCTCTTTTAACTTTTAATATTTCTCAGTAACAGAGGGGAAGGGCTGGCCACCAGGAGAAGAATAAGGGGAAGTAGATTGGAGCACATAAAATAAGAATATTTAATAAACAAACTCAAGTAAAATGCATCCTGAAGTACCTTTACATTCACACGTGTAAGAGTATATGGACTTAGGTGAGTGTGGTAGCTCACGCCTGTAATCCCAGCACTTTGGGAGGCCGAGGCAGGAGGATCACTTGAGGCCAGGAGTTCAAGACCAACCTGGCCAACATGGTGAAGCCCCGTCTCCACTAAAAATGCAAAAATTAGCCAGGTGTGGTGGTGCAGGCCTGTAATCCCAGCTACTCAGGAGGCCGAGGCAGGGGGATCGCTTGAGCCCAGGAGGTGGAGGTTGCAGTGAGTGGAAACAGCACCACTGACCTTCATTGGGGTGGCTGGCAAAGTATTAGGGAAATACTAGGGGAAGTTATAGATTAGTCTCAAACCTTTTGGAAGGCCGAAAGGTTTTATTGGGACAGGCTGAAGGCAGTCGGTTCATTACATTAGCATAGGAAAAAGAGAGGATAAGAGGCTTTCCCTGTTAAGTCTGTTTACCCCACATCCCGTTGTCTCTACTGTTTCCTCATGTAAACTGTGCTGATGGCCCTCTTGGGGGAGGCCAAAGGGCAATTACGCATTAATGGTGTTTTCTCTGGGCCCCAAAACCATGTTAATCATCCACAAGTGTTGTGTTGAGTTAGAACCCCCTATTAAATCCATCCTGAATAAATGTGAGGATGGACAGGGGTCTTGGTGGGTTGGTTGCGTTTGCCCTCTGAAAGCAGCTGATGACCATCCTAGCCCACCTGAATCACTGAAATAGGTGTGAGGGTGTATGCATTCATCCGCTGTTGAGTCAGGGTCTGCGGACAGACCTCCGCAGGTGGTGGTGGAGGTCTCACAACAGAGTGAGATTCTGACTCAAAAAGGAAAGAGAGTATACGGCTTTAGGCCAGGCATGGTGGCTCATGCCTATCATCTCAGCACTTCTGGGGGCCAAGGCTGGAGGACTACTTGAGCCCAGGAGTTAGAGGCCAGCCTGAGCAACAGGGTGGCACTTCATCTCTATAAAAAACAAAAAAGTACATGGATTTAGGCTAAATGAAATCTATTTAATAACTGTAGGATTATTCACTCTAAACAGCAGTATGCTACATCCTAGGTAAACAAACGTGGGTGTTTGCCTGTTTTTTAGACAGGTAGTGATTAAAGTCTTCCATCCCGAGTAACTTTTGGGGAAGAAAAGTGTTACCAAACAGTATTACCTTGCATGTTATATTGATAGTAATTAGGATCTTCTGATTCTTTCTTGACCGAGGCAGCTTCTGCTTTCAGGGAAATGCCTTGGGATGCAATGGAAATTATAAAATTGTATGTTAGGTTAAGCTTGCCAACAGAGAAACGTGACTAGCTAATATAAGTTGATTAATACAGCCACATTACAATCAGCAAAAGAACTTGAAGTTCATTCACTATGAACAAATTTGACCTCTTGATACAAAAACAGAAATACTATAAATATACATATAGAAAACATATATTTATGTATTTATGTATATTTATATAAAAATAATACCAATTATAAAATCAATAGAAAAGGAAAGCAGGAAGGAGGGGGACGGGTGCGGCGGCTCACACCTGCAATCCCAGCACTTTGGAAGGCTGAGGCAGGCGGATCACTTGAGGTCGGGAGTTCAAGACCAGCCTGGCCAATATGGTGAAACCCCGTCTCTACTAAAATACAAAAATTAGCCGGGAGTGCTGATGTGTGTCTGTAGTCTCAGCTACTTGGGAGGCTGAGGCAGGAGAATCGCATGAACCAGGAGGCAGAGGTTGCAGTGAGCTGAGACGGAGCCATTGCACTCCAGCCTGAGTGACAGAGCGACTTGGTCTCAAAAAAAAAAAAGGAAGGAGGGAGATGAGGAGGAAGGAAGACATCATGAAGGTGGGAGAGCTTAGTCCTGGTTCTAGTCCTAGTTTTGCAAGATTTTCCCATTCAAGGTGGCTAAATATCTATATGCATTTACGTGAAACGGTGTGAAAATTCTTGTTATGGAGCCTGAACTGACACGTATAATCTT